CGACAACGACAGAGGCGTAGCTTGGCGAGCCGTAAAGATCATCTTAATGAAATATACTCCATAGAAGAGAATTTGAGAATTTGAGAATTATCGGATTCTCTAAAATAGATTATGCCACGACACATCCAGACACGCCTCACGTTGTAAGAATGGGCAAGAGTTCTAGCCTTCCTCAAGGCAAGCCTCTCGAAAGCGGTAAATCGCTCGTATATAGAGATTCTATCGGAAGGCCGTGATCCTTTAATATCACGCGTAATGATTTTGTGTTTACGAACTGCAGCAAGCCATTCATTTCTTTTAATTATCTACATGAATTTAATGATAAGCGACCTAGACGAAACAATACAAGCGTTAATCAATTTGAAATATATAGATAAGGACAAAGAAACAAAGCAAAACAGTCTTATGTATCTTACGTAGTTAATTTGAATAAAATTAACTTCACCAATAAATCGTAATGTAACCACCGCCAAATGCAGCTCAAAATGCGATGAGTCGTGCTGCCAATGCTGACCCAGCCCCCCCTCCCCCCCCTCAGGGAACAGATGCAGTCTTTAATAGTCGTGCGCGACAACAGCCACAGAGCAGCCGGCCAAATGATTATCCAATGACAAAGAATGTAGTAAAGCAGTCAAACAGCTCACAGATACAGAAGCAGACTTGAAAAGCTAGATGCAGGGCAGATGGATGAAATCGCCACCAGAGACAGACGAAAGATTCTCCAAAGAAACTTCCAATATAATGTTGCTAGAAAATCAGATGGAAAAAGAGCCGAAGAGAGCAAACAGTAAACACATCTAAATAAGACAACTCGCGCGCGACTGATATATCACATATGTTGGAAAATAATCAATATTTTGAGAAAGTGAATGTTTGTTAATATATATAATGTATACACCGGTGATGTTTAACTATATAACTGCAAAAATAGTGGGCAAATATAAATAATCAGTTACGTATACAAATAAACTATTACTCATATGTATTTTATAAAAGTATGATACCTTAAAAATCTGCATTATATCCATTTTAGCTTACACAAACGTCATGATAACAAAGCAGCTATCTGATAGAGAACGAGCAGATGCAGCACAGTTTAATAAGGCGGGTATGGGTCCCATAGTGAAGACGTTTAAATTTAATCCGACGAAGCAAAAGCAATCGACAACAGTCTTTACAAAAAGTAGAGAATAATTTTATTTAGAATTAATATGTATTTAGTTACACAATGTGCAACACAATAAACAAAATTGTAATTATAGCTATAATAAAGAAAATACTATATAATATAAAATCTATTTTTATAATATTAATTTTGTTAAACATAATAAATCTTTTATATTTTTCTTAATAAAAAACGTATTTGTTATACATAGATAGATAGAAAAATTCATAATTGAATAAAGAGAATTCATTAGATTTCAAAATTAAAAATATACAAGAAGAAGCTCCTTGATTCAATATCTTTGTAAAAGTTTATTTTTTATTTAGAAATATTTTCTCTTATGTATATACACATATACATATATATGTGTGTATATATATATACACACACACACACACATATGTAATGTATTAACTGTATAAGGAAGTATTTGGAAGTTCTATTTTCGTCTCTTGTCACTTATATACTTTATACTTTATATTATATATATATATATACGTTTACTGAAACGGCTGTTCCTCCTCTGGACTGAGTGACCTTTCGACACTCTGCTGTGTCACAAAGACACTTTGTGTTTTTGCCGTAAGATTTGCCTGCTAAAAAAATATTTTTATTATGTTCCATCCAATATATATTTCTATGATTTTCTTAATTTTTTGGATTATTATTATATATTAGATTTGTTTGCGTCATATGTGCTCCAACATGCTCCTACTATAGTTCCTACTCACTTCAATGAGCGCTTAGGAGTTATGATAAAAGCATGTTGGAGCACACAATGCAAACAAATCTATTATTAACGACGACCTCCAAAAAACTTGCTGAATATCAAGTTTCTGGAAATTTGTATATAAGAAACTAAT